CCTATATCCTGAGAACCTAACATGGGGTCAACCATGTAGGAACTGCTCAAAAATACTGTCTGAATGAGTGACTAAAAATCCACCCAGAGAAATCTTTGTCCTTTTTTTTTTTTTCCCAAGTCCTGTAGGCAGTTAATACTTCAAATTTCTGGAAGTTACGTAGCCATATGTTCAGGAACAGAGAGAGTAGAGCTATGCACTAAAGTCACTTTAAATATTCTATTCACAAATAACTCTACAAGTGCATAAATTATAGAATTCAAATCAGAATCATTGTTCATTAGCCATGGGACCTTAAGTAAGTTATTGAATGTTCCTCAGCCTGCTTCCCTTATCTGTGAAGTAGGAATGCTAACAGAATTATAGCGAACATCTGTTGTTTTGCAATCCAAAATGTAGGAACCCACCTCCTGGTGACAGTATCACAATTTTCTGGCAGAGAAACACCCTTGCTCCTACTTCCCTACCTATGGCTGGCTCAGGGATGGTGTTTCAGTCCGCTTTTGTGTCTCTGAAACCAAAAGAACTGACAGAAAGAAAGTTTATTCAGGGTTCAGTTTCAGAGGCCTCAGTCCACAGAGTCAGCTCCATTCCTTGGGGCCTGAGGTGAGGCAGGACGTCATGGCAGAAGGGTGTGGTGGAGGAAAGCAGCTCAAGACATGGTCACCAGGAAGCAGAGAGCCAGCGCCACTCATCAAGGACAATATAACCCCAAGGGCATACCCCCAATGACCTACTACTTCCTCCAGCCACACCCTGTCCTCTCAATTACCACCCAGTTAATCCATCAGTGGATCAATCCACAGATTAGGTTCAAGCTCTCATGATCTAATCATTTCACCTCTGAACATTATTGCATTGTCTCATACATGAACTTTCGGGGGACACCACATATATAAATCATAACAGCCAGAATACGTGACCAAGCCCAAATCTAGTAGTATGTGGCACCCCAACCTAGGAAGAGACTCAGGATCTGGGCAATGCTCATGAATCTGAGCAAGTCATTGTGAGCAATGCTGGGACTGAGGTTCCTTCTTTCTGGCTGGATTTGAAGCCCAGATGAGGTAAGGCTGAAGCTCTTTCAGTCATCCCACAATAAGATGAAGCCTAAAAAATGGTGCCACATCCAAGGAAGAAAACCAAGTAAAACAGAGCAAGAAAACAGATCCTGCTAGTGAAGCTTGAGCCCTGGATCAAGTCATACCTGAAGTGATCTTCTCTGAACTAAAGGGTTATAAGGGCAAAGATAACATTTCTTTTTGGATAAACTATTTTGAGTTTTAGGGTTTCTGGCACAACAGAATTGAGTCCCAATTAAAATAAGCATTTCCTAGAAAAGTTACTGCAAGGATTAAATGAAGTTCCCAATATAAAGCATGCATAGTGGACACTCGGGTAAGTGGCAGATGTTTAAGTTACCTGCAGTGGTTGTTTGTTGTTGTAGTACTGTTCCTGTCTTCTTCTAGGACCACTTTAATTGATGTGCTTTGTCTCTGACTTCTGCTTTCATTGTCCCCCAGTGACACTCTCTAGGACAGGAATATGGACAACAAAATCTGTCTGCCACTACTTCCTAATCCCCTCCTGACAGACATCACTATTGGACCACATCATCCTTTCCTGCTGAGCCTGGATTCCTATTCAACTCAACGTTTCAGGTAGCCCCTATCAATCAATCAGAAAGGTCAATCAAAATGAAACAGATTTGTCTGACTCTGGTCTGGCAAATGGCAAAGTCTTTCTATAAAGAACTAGATAGAGTTTTGAATATGGTCTCTATCATATATTCTTCTTTATGTTTGTTTTGTTTGCAAGCCTTTAATAAAATTTTTACAAACAGTCTTTGAGCCAGGCACGGTGGCATATGCTTGTAATCCCAGAAGCTCAGGAGCCTGAGGCAGGAGGATTGTGAGTTCAAAGCCTGCCTCGGCAAAAGCAAGATGCAAAGCAACTCAGTGAGATCCTGTCTCTAAATAAAATACAAGATAGGGCTGGGGATGTGGCTCAGTGGTCAAGTGCCCCGAGTTCAATCCCCAGTACCAAAAATAAAAGTAAATCCATAAATGAACTTTTTTTTTTCTCTCTCAACTGTACAAAAACCTTCTTCTAGAGCCCTGAAACTAGATTGTGGCTGTCACAGGAACCGGCACATCTCATCTGCCTCCACATGGCTCCTGCAAGCCATGTGGTATGCTCAGAGATACTGCCACCAGAGCCCCACAGGACACAAGGAATTGCCTAAAAAGTAACATGAGAGCTTTGGTGAAGGGAATTTCCTGTTCTCATCAGAACAACCCCAGGTGAACTGAAATCCAAGATAATCCAAGGATCAGATACAAGACCCATGTTTGTTGTACCTTCTCTCCTACTTCCAGAACCAAATTTACAGAACCAAATGACCCTTTCAAAGCATTGGACTCCCATCCCAGAGTCAAGTTTATGAGAGAAATAAAGAAACAGAAGGTTCAGTTCATCACATTTCTCCATTGTTACCCTGCCCCTCACAATTAAAAGAACAACCCTGAAATAATTCCAAGATAGAATGTCATATTTCTTCTGAACAACCCTTGATATTTCCCAGCAATGGGGCTAGAGGGCAGGTACTGGGAATTAAACTCAGGGGTACTCAAACACTGAGCCACATCCCCAGCCCTATTTTGTATTTTATTTAGAGTCAGGTCTCTCTGAGTTGCTTAGTGCCTCCCCATTGCTGAGGCTGGCTTTGAACTCGTGGCCCTCCTGCCTCAGCCTGCCAAGCTGCTGGGATTACAGGTGTGCACAACTGCATCCAGCTCTAGCATTTTTTAATGGAGACAATTACATACAAAGATTGATTTGGTTTTCCTCTCTATTATTCTCCATTTTTGATTCTAGTTTGAATGAAAAGGACTGGATTTTGCTTCAATTATGTTCAATTATTCATTCAACAAACAATTACCTACACTCAGAATCCCCCTCTCAAGGCACTTGCAAGAAGGAAGACTGATATATAGATGATGAGCAGAGGAATGAGGAGTGTGTGCAGGGTAGCCTGGCAGCAACTCAGTTACCTTGCAAGGAGAGAGTCCAGAGGTCTGCTGAAGAGAAGCAGCTGGGTAGGGAAGAGCAGACAGGATTGACCAACAAAAGGGGTGGGTGATAGGTGCTGAGTCCCAGTGGCTTGAGCAGAGGCTATATGTGAGGAGGCTTAAGAGGCTGATAAAAGGGGAGGGGGGAATCATGAACATCCTTAGAGTCCAAACTCTATCCTGAAAGCCACTGAAAACCTCCGAAGGAAATTAACCAGAATGACTGACTTTGGTTTTTGTTTTCAGAATGAGTGACCACAGTTTGAAAGATGGACTGAAACAAGAAGGTCCTGATTGGGGGCAACTAGCCCAGTTTGAAGGTAATTGGAGCCATTCACGCTAAAAGCGATTAGGGTATGAACCAAATGGGTGACAGCAGGAAGCAGCAAAAGGGTCATACAGCAACAACAATAAAAATCAGAACAGCTCACACCTACACAAGGCTTACTCATGACAAGGCAGGATACCTGGTGCCTCTGTTTATCAACTTATTTAATCTTCACATCGAACCTGAGATAGGTTGGTTCCTATTAGCAATCTCACAAACAGATCAGGAAACCCAGAAGGAGTTAAGTAAGGATGTCTAGCAGCTATGCAGGTTAAACCCAGACATCTGGCTTCAGAACCCACACTCAATGTCCACACTGGCTGCTCTCCTAGTGCAGATACAGACCGTGGTGCTCAGAACTGGACCTTGTTCCAGTGGTGAGACAGGGGAGACTGTCTGGGTCGAGCTTGTGGGCCTGAACATTGCCTTTCAATTTCTTAAGCCTCCTCTGAAACTTCTCCACAAGTCTCCCCAACCCATGCACCCACATTCTCACCACCAGCCCCCTGTCCTTTTCGTCCTCGCATCACTGCCTTGGCCATGAAATGCAAACGTCTCCCAGTTGGAGAGAAAACCTCACAAGCGTTGCCAGTTGGCTGTGGGAAAGCCCAGAGAGCGCCGCTGCTCTTGGAAATACAGCGCCTTGGGTCTGTTATTTTCAATCAGGCAGAACTGGGAAAACTTTGAGCAGGCTTGTGTGGTTTCCTTCTCAGAGAGCGAGTCCTCGGCAGCCCCACTTCTGAGCTCACACTACTTGCCTACAATGGACCACGCGCCTTCAGTGGAGACTGGCGTTTAAGGACAGAAGCATGCACCCGGCCAACCTGGTCTGGGCCTCCAACAGACCCACCGGCTGGTAGAAAGTGAACCTGGCGGGGAGATTCTCGCAGAACCAAATGGCGTTTTGCTCCCGGCACAAAAGTTAAAGCAAGCATCTGCAGCAAGAAACTTGTGTACTATTTCCTGCGGACAGGGAGACCTCCTGCCCCTCCCGGGCTGATACAACCCACTTTGCACATCCTGCTTCTCCGGGAGCTAAAAATAAATCGGTATGCACTGAAAAACACTCAAACACATCTCCCCAGAACACCCTTCCCGAGTCCCGAAGGCAAGACAATCTTTCGGGTTCCGAATCCAAAATGCAGACCACTTCCTTGTCTAGATGCAACCAGCTCCTTTCCGTCGCTCCCACAGCCCCCTCCCCAGGCGTCCTCGCCGCGTGCCTGCCTCCTGTGGCCTCTCAGGGCCGACTCCGCAGGCCTGGGATCCCGCGGGTGCCCTAACCCTCACTCCCGGACCCCGGAGAGAGATGCTCCAAAAGTCCCCAAGCTCACGAACGCCCCCTTCCGACCCAGTGCGCCCCCAGCCTGCCTGCCCCGCGCGTCTCTGCGCTCCCTCGGCAAAGTTGCTCTCTCCTTTTCATCTGTCCATCCTCAGGGTCTTTGATTTTGTTCCATTTCTCCTGAGAGGTGTTGGCGGAAGGACTGGGAAATGGACAAGGTGAATGGCACCTGGGAGGGGGCTGCCAGAACCAGTTTCCCAGAACCGCGCTCCTCGCGCCCACCCCGGATCCCACTGCGCCCCCAGCGCGGGGGTCCCACCAGCATTGGCTCCCGGCGCTGGCGTCCCCGGCACACCCGCCCTGGCTGCAACTCCGACTCGGCTCCGGCTCCCTACAAGCGGAGGAAAGGCGCTGCGACTCACCGCCTCGGCCGCTCCCGGCGTCTGTGTCGCCGAGAGCGAGGCGGCGGCCGCGGCGGCAGAGCCTTCCCTCCGCCCGCCTCCCCCTGGACAGCTCGGCCGCCAGCCGCGCCCCACTCCCCAGCCCGGCTCGCCGCCTCCCTCCAGGCGGCTGCGGACCCCCCCCCCTCCCCATTGAGGCCCCCCAGGCAGCTTCTCCCAAGAGGCCAGACCTCCTGGGGGCAGGGGTACCTAGCAGAGGCTAGTGTGCAGGTGCAGTGCAACCCCCACCTAGCCTAGTCCCCTAGTCCTCGCCCACTGCCCAGGCTTCTAACCAGGTTGACCCGCACTTTCCAAGGGATGCCATCTGCTTGCCTTTTCGGGTGATGGGTAGATGAAATTCAACCGAGAACACTTCCTTCCAAGCTTTGATTAGGGGGCCCTCCCGGGGGTCCCTGCTCCCCTGCAGTGAAGTTCAAGGTAGCCTTGGAAGGCGTTTCAAAAAGCCCTTTCAGATGCTTTCCTTCCTGGGACCCAACAGGACCAAGAGAGAGGGGGCTGCTCTTGATTCCACCCAGAGCCTTCTGTGAACGGTTTAGGGGTGACATAACAAAAGCAGACTAGGAGGGGAACATCTGAGGAGCCTCTCTTTTACCCCCACTGCCCACCGCAGAATGTCGCCAAACTTCCCATCTCAACCGAAGATAATGAGAAGCAAATGTTTTGTCAGTTCGTCAACAGATATTTATTGAGTGGCTGCTGGCCGCCAGCACATGTTCCTGTCTTGCTATGTTGGCCACTCATGACCTCTCAAAAAGTCACTGTAACTTCTTGTGTTTGTCGCTCCCAATGACATTTCCAGAATCCACCGAGGTCTCAACAGCAACTCATCTTGCTCAGTTTAAAAAGTTGCCGGTTAAAAATAACAGCTGTCACAGCACGGTGACCTGGCCATGATCCTTATAATGATTGCAAAGTCCTTTAATATGACTGGGGACAGAAATGACAGTTGCCTTTAGGTCCATCAGTCACAACACAAATTTGAACATCAAGTAGAAGGTTCACCTAACTAAAACCATCTTTCCCTAGTTGTGCAGATTGCCTTCAATAGGAAAACAAAAATTTTCTGACAGCCCATGAAGCCATTATCAGATACTAAAAACTTAATTGGATTCACAGCTATGCCCAGTGGTTTACCTACCTGGACATACAGCAGAATCCTTAGGGAGTTAGATTATTTTTCATTTCTGTGGTGTTGGTGATGGTGGTGGTGGTGGTGGTGGTGGTAGTGGTTTCTATGCTAGGCCTGGGCCCCGCTCCCAGAGATTCTGACTTAACTGCTCAGGGGTGCAGCCTTGCCTGGTGTTTGTTATACAGGTCCTAGAGAACTGTGATGTGAAGCCAGGGTTGGGAAGCACCATGGGATTAGCCAATCAACAGAGTGTGAGGCAGTGGAACCAGGTAGTTTTGATGCAGGAAATGTGTGCGCAGGTATTGCACACTTACGTGTTCATAAGGATAAAAAGACATGACAAGTGCCTTAGGTAGGTTTGCCGGGCAAACTGGAAGGGCACTGCTGTGGTGTGAGTGTGTTCCCCTAAAGTTCATGTGTTGGAACCTTAATTCCTCCATGTGGCAGTGTTGGGAGGTGTTTGGGTGCTAGGGATGGAAACTTCACTACTGAATTAACACCATTCTCCAGTGAGTAAACTTTTTTTGCTCTCTTGGGACTGGACACTTTACTGCCAGTGTTAATATAAAGAAAGTCTACCCTGTGTTTTATCTCTTTTGCGGCACTACTTGCTCTTGGTTGTTTTGTTTATTTGTTTCTTTTTTCCTATCATGAATTGAAGCATCCCACGGCCCTCAACAGATGCATCTGCTGGATCTTGGACTGTCCAGCTTCCAGAACCATGAGCCAAAATAAGCCTCTTTGATTTATAAATCACTCAGCCTCAGGTATTCTATTATACCAACCGAAAACAAGTGAGACCATGGCCCTAAAGAGGGCAGCTTCATTTTTCCATGTGGGAAATAGAGATCCAATGTGGGCCATAAAATTTGGGGGTTTTAAAATTTATTTTAGTTTGTTTTTTTCTTTTCTTTTTTTTTCTAGAAAAGCCAGAAATCCACATTTAATGTGAACTCCTCTAATTTTAAAATAGTAACTCGATTTTTAATATTTCATATGTTCTGTAAGTCAAAAAAGTAAGGTGACAAAATGTTCCTTGGTCATTAGTGCATCAACTGCAGTCTAAACAGATTCTGGGGTTTGGGGGTAAAGCAGCAGGAACGTGGCATTGTTTAGGGGTGGGGATTCCTCTGAGAGAGAGAGATGATATAAAATCTATTTTATTACTTTGTAATTTTTCTTTAATAGTCTTTATTTTAAGGGGAAAGAGCACCTTTCTTGAGATATAACTCATATATAGTATTCCCCTCTTATTCAAAGTTTTGCTTTCCTCAGTTTTATTTAGTCAAAGTCCACCCAGTCCAAATATATTAAAGGAAAGTTCCAGAAATAAACAATTCACAATTTTTAAATTGTGCACCATTTTGAGTACCATGATGAAAGCTCATGCCATGCTGTTTTGTCCAATCATGAATGTGAATCCATGTGAATCACCCCTTAGTCCAGCATGTCCATGCTGTCTATACTGCCCATCCATTAGTCACATAGTAGCTGTTCCAGCTATCAGGTCAACAGTGGTGGTATTATAGCACCTGTGTTCAAGCAACTCTTAATTTATTTAATAATGACCCCAAAGAGCAAGAGTAATGATACAAAGGAGGCACCAAGATATAAGGGTACATAGGAAAAAAATCCTTGGTTAGGAAGAGATTTGTTTTCCATTATTAGTGGTGATAGCATTTAATCCAATCACCAAATAGGGAAACCTTTTCTGTGCTGGGCACGATGGGGTTGCAAAACTGCATAAGATAGTTCCTTACCCTCAGGGAACTCTGTTTAATAGAGGAAAGAGACATATAAACAGATGGTGACATTGCAATGCAGGTGTGCTATGGTCAGGGATGAACAGGTTTCTGTGGGAGTTGAGAAGAGGAGTCTTTTACCCAGACCAAAGTAAGCAAGCATTTACAATCTAAAAAAAATAAGCTAGCTGACCCTCTGTGAGTGTGTGCTATATGCCAGGCACTTGTCAAACAGATGGCAGATATGAATACATTTAATCTTCACCAAAAATCTACAAGGAAGGTACTACTATTATCCCAACATCAAATGAAACTTTTAAAAAGGCAAGTAACTTGCCCAAGGTCACACAGCTCTGAAGACACTCGGCTGGGATCCAGAATAAATTCATTAGCCCCATATAGGTGTCTATATCATAATCCCAGAACCTGAAGGAGAATTAAGAGTTGCTGATGTTATTAAGTTTGCTGATCGATGGACCTTAAGAAGGGACACAATCCTGGACTTCCGGGTGGACCCAATGCAATCACAGAATTGAAGAATCGTAGAAGAAGGAGACCAAGGAAACAGAGGGAGATATGAACAACAGAAATCAGAGAGCCACAACATTACTGGCTTTGAAGATGGAGAAAGAGTTCCAAGGGTCAAAGAATATAATCATCCCCAGAAGCCAGAAAAATCAGGGAAAAAGATTTCCCTTACAGCCTCTAGAGAGGAAAACAGCCCTGCCAGGATCTTGATTTTATCCCAATGAGACCCATTTCAGACTTTGGACCTCCAGAAGTATAAGATCATACATTAGCATTGTTTTCACAACTACATTTTCTGTAATTCATTATAGAAAACTAATACACAGGCCCAGGTCTTTCCTCACTCCAGAGAAGATATTGATTCCAGAACCCTCTCCCTGAGTTTGAAGTAGAAGGATGTAAGCCAATGTACAGCTTGAATAGTTGACCCTGAATTTCTCACCTTATTCTCATCCACTCTGAAAGGTATCACCAGCCTTCTCTGCCTCACCCAGCTCCAACAAGGTCCTCTTGGTACTTTCTCCCTGACCTTTCCATTTTCAGAGCATCTTTGGATTTTCTGCAAACTAGAAGGATTCATGGTGTCCTGATTTTCTCCCAGAATATTTCCAAAAATGTCAAGGAGAACCAAAAGCACAGGTATGATCAGAAGGGAGCAGTACTTTCATCAAACTCCATGACAACTCCCATCAGCCAGACTGTCACTCCTCAGCCTCTGCATCTGCTCCTACAACTTGTGAACAGCGTGGAAGAAAGCCTAACATCCAAGTGTCCTTGACAGGAGGCAGAGTTTACTGCATTCAGTTACAACCTCCAAACTCAGCTGGTCTGGTCCAAGGCAAGGCATTCCGAAGAAAAAAGAAAGTAGGTTCCCTCCTTATCCATTTAAGTGGCTGCCTGCTCACAACCCCCCCAAAATGAGGGAAAGGGAGAATCCAGTCCAGCTACAGGACATCACTTCCACTGCCACCTCCTGCTGCCACAGCACCCCCACTGAGCTTTGCAGTTTCACTACACTTCACCTACCAGCTCCGACATTCTCCAGGTGTCATGTGGTACCCAAAACAAAGTGCTGTCCTCTGGGAAGGTCCTTTTGATGGGCAGCCAGGCACAAAACTTGAGGCCATGACATGTGCTGGCATCCCAAGAGCAGATTATTAAATAGGAATTTTGTGAGCCACTGGGAGTATTTTCAAGATGGAAATGGACAAATGCTGCAAATCGGATTGTCCTCCCTCCCAATTCCTGCTCCCACCACTGGCTTTTATCAGGACTCCAGTGAGTAGCGCTGGCTGTACATTCGACGTGGTGTGTATTTGCTTGCTTTGGAAAGTCAACACCACAGGGAAGATTGCTGTTCAAATGTTGACCATGAGGCTGTAAAGAAAGGACAGTCGACCACCAAGAACATCATAGCTTCCAAGTTGAAGCCCTTCAACCATTCCTTAAATTCCCAAGAAAGGGCAAGTTCAAGTACCAAATATCTCTGGTGCACTGAAGATAAAAACATATGATGTCAGGCT